ACACGTATCCGTATTCGGAGCGTATTCGAAAATGTCCACTCTGGAGACCGTTTTCGAAAATTTTCTGATACGGATACAAAAATTTCCGGACACGTGTGGACGCAACTCGTATCCGCAAAGAAAGCGTGTGGACGGGGCCTAACTTGACGGGCCACAAAACTGAAAACGCAAATTCAGTAAAATGGAGAAGACAATTGGGGGGGGGGGGGGGGGGGGGGGGGGGGGTGAGAATAATCGATTTTATGAATAACTCGTGTTATGGTATCATGCCCCGTCAAGTTCCTTACATTTGGATGCGCACGCAACCTTGAGAAAACGGTCTATAACAACCCTTTTGACGTGAAAACGGTCTATAACAACCCTTTTGACGTCCCGGAAAAGAACAAGCGCAACGGGGAGGGGGTGAGGTATGAAGACTGGCCACATTACTATATTACTACATCTGAAAAAGACCAGTAACGACGTGTCACAGTTGATTCAAAATACTGAGGGGGAAAAAGACAGACCCCGTGGCTTTAACCTCCCAGAAGATCATGAAAAGGGGAAAATGGTTATAATTTTAAAAAATCCGTTCAATTTACTCATTTACAAATATTTACTGATAATGCAATGATCAGTGCAATAAAACGGACATATATTGCAGAGCATTTTTCGTGTGTAAGGATCAACTCCATCAGGAGCATAATATAATAATAATGAAGAACACACGAACTAAATGCACGTGTGTTACAAGGCTGCTTTAGTTGGTTCCCAGCCTTTTTGTATTTCGGACCACTTGTCATTACTTTGTTTTTGAGTGTAAATTGGATCTCAAACTTCAATGTTTCGTTTATTTATTTGAAGGTGTGAAAATCTTTTGTCTTGCAATATTTATTGATTATTTTTCAAGTACGACCAACCAACTAGCCTTTTGCACTCTTGGATGAATTGGCTGAGGATCAGTCTCGTTATATGGATATTTTTACATTACATGATTTGGTCAAAACACGGCATTCTCTGACTCATTTTCAACACCCAATCACAGCATACCACAAAAATAGCTGTGCTTAACAAAAACAATATCTCAGTTGAAAGAACACCAGTTAAGTGGACGGCCATTTTGATAACTCGAACAGGTTTTGCATACAACGATAAAACTTTATACACTAATATCGTCGAGCTAAATTGTGCTACTATAGATTCTTCTAAGTACTTATAACGTCTAGGAAATTTTAAAACGTGAGCTTGTGTTTGCAAATGACGTGTTATGAGGGGCAAAAGTCAAGACAAAAACAACAGCAGGGAACAACTAAAAACAAATACATACGGGAACGCTTACTACCTTCAAGGAAAAGATCTGGATAAATCATTTACTTTTTAAAGTTTAGTTATATGTGAAAAAATAGCATAGTAATAAAGGTGTATTGAAAAGTTTGCATTTGTAGACCAGACTGGTTGATAATGACCTGATTTTAGACAGGAGAGACGCGCATGCGTAGTAGTTAGTCTAATACCACCCGCTAGATTGCTAGTACCCGTAGTTTATCACTGCCTGTTAGTAAAATTCAGTAAAACTATATTCTTCTGACTGGATCCTCTCCTCTATTACATCAAGAGCAGGAGAAGGTAAGGATTTGATACAAACTACGAAGCCATTAGTAGCAAGCGAAATGTGATTTTTGAAGTACTGGGGATTGATGTGTTGATTTGATTTTTACGATTAAACTGCGATAACAAAACAGGCCAATCCTTTGATCAAATGGACCTTTGGCCACAAAATTGTAAGGACAATTTTTTCTTCGATTGCAGAAAAATGATATTATTATTTCTATCAAAATTTCAAGAATTTCTTTCGTTGCAGTCTGGAAATTTGGGAAAAAATGTGAAAGTTCAGTAATAGCTACTAAATAGTAAATGTGTTTAAAAAATGTCCAGCCGGAAAACCGATTACACCATAGATCAAAGATGTCTAGAAATGGTGATGTAATTTTTATTCTCTTTCTTCCAACTTAGGGTCGACAAGATGTCTTTAAAGCTGACTTTTTGTCTGCTTTTAGCCTTTTTAGTATGTACACAAGCATTGCCCATTAAAGGTATAGTACGATATGGCTGTAGCCACACCATGCTTGAATAGTCCACGCATCAGATATTTCACTTGAGCAATATTTGTTCTGGAAACAGTGTATAGAGTGCAAACAATATATCCGTGAAACACTAACTACTAAGTTGTTCGAAATAGTGCTAGTTAAACAAAAGAAAGCAATAGAATTAGCATAAAATAGTGTAAGTTAGTAATACTAATATTTCACGGATATAATGTTTGCACTCTAACATCTCTGGTATACCATGCACTTAGTAACAAAATTGAGTATTAAATTAATGTTCTAATACAACGTGCTCTAAAACTTTGCGAACATTTTGAAAAAAATCTACCTTTATTTCTGGTTTTGACAAATTTCAATTAAAAAACGATTGTCGGGAAATCAAACGAATTTTTAAAATTTTGTTTTAATTTGTCGATTAAACATGTCATCAAACACAGGTTTCAAATCAGGACCGGTGATGGAATAATAATGTTGAATTCTACTAAAGTCCCGCTGTATTTTATCATATTTTGATGTTCAGTTATAGTAGAAAAACAAATACAGTTCTCAGTAAAGACTATAATATAGTCCCTTCCTTTTATAATCTCTTGTAGTAATCAGTTAATCGAGAATTTGAGTTCTTTCACTTTTTGAGTTCTTTCTTTTTTACTTGTAAAATTAAATAGCATTCATAGCATTTTCAACTTGTATCGCTAAAATAGGCTATAGTATATATATATATATATGGAGGCATAAAAACATTATGAAATAAGTTTGAAATTAAAAGTCATATTTATTTATATGACTAAAATAAGTTATATCTTATTGTTCGCTGAATGATACGTATTTTAACACGTGGAGGAAGATTAGTACAGAATAACTATTCCTAATATATTTTGACGTGGAGGAAGACTAGTACAAAATAACTATCCCTGATATAACAGAATAAACTATTCCTTATATATACATATATATATATATATACATATATATATATATATATTTTTTTTTTTGTTTTCAGAGAAAGAGTCAGGAGAAAGCGGATTTTACGGTGAACAAAATTCATATTTAAAGCATGCATGTGTTTGAAAATATTAGATCTGAGCTATTAAGTAAACAAAATGGAGAGAAAAGCTTACCTGGTTATGGAGGCAACTGAATACTCTTTTCTTGCTTTCACCATTCTAATAAGGCTTTGGCGAATAGCTGTTTTTTAGCATATTTTAAAAACCCTTTTCTAATTCTATGTAAGAGCTACTTTGTTTTTTACTCGACTGCTTCGGATCGTGAGGACTTGTAGCTGTCGCGATGACATATCGATTTATCGCCGAAAACTACGGACGCGTCGTCGGAAAGCGCGCGAAAAAAATTCCTTCGGTGCTGATTTGTGGGAGAAAAACCTTTTTTGTGAAGATTAAAACAATATTCCAAATCTCTCCTACTAGTGGCCGTTTTTTATAGATTACAAAGTGCGGTAAAAATTCATCAATATAATATAGTATTGTTAAATTTCGTAATTACAGACTCCGATGACGAGAATACAAAAGAAGTGGAAACAGGCGAAGTAGATAATTATGATGACGAAGGAAAAGATGATGAAGTTGATGATGAGAAGGAATCATCCTTTCAGACAGATGATGATGCTGAAAATCCCGATAAACAAGGGGTTACTGATAGTAACGATGAATCAGATGATGAAAGTAAGTTTCTGGTTTTATTGCGATGGTAGACATCACGTCTGTCGTGCGTTTGTTGTAATACTGAGGGAGCCTTCTGCGCAGACGTTGCGTGATAGACCCTAAGAATGTCGGCAAAGGAGGCTAGGTGTTATTTTTTTGATGGATGCACTTTTTACAAGAATTTACTAAGTTTAAGAAATCTTATTTTGTCTTAGTTTGAGTTTCGTATGTTTGAAAAAAATTCTAGTCTTCCCCTTTAAAATTCAAAATGTACTCCGCCTTCCCTGATAAAAACCTTATATTTATAGATTTTTATTAACCAGTAAAGTTAGAACAGGTAACTTGTAATACAATGTAGCTTGGTTAAAGCTCGAAAAGTTGTTTGTTAGAAATGGCGGATAATCACTTTACGGTTAAACGAATCAGGCCTCACAATATATTAACCGGCCCTTGTGTGATCTGTAGGTGGTTCGAAGAAGAGCTCAGTAAGCGGTGAACAAGAGGATGAAGCAGGTTAGTCTCAAAAATACATTAGCACTATACAAAACAAACTTTCAGATCTATTAGTCTTCGGTAGATTGCACCTCATAGTAAATCAGCCTGTACGCAAGTATTCAATGATTTATGTTTTAAAAAGAATCAGTCTCGTTTCTATAGGCCTCCTCGGCTCGGGCGTATTAATGTTTTCCCATTTCAGACCACGTGTCATTCCCTTGAGAATAATATTCTTTGTTTGAGTTGTGTCAATATTCATGTGTCTTCTCATTGTAGAAAATATTCTTGCCTTTCATCGATATTAACTATGCTTTCATCAATCTATATTTATTGGGTCCTTCATGAAACTCGCATTCAATACATACATCTATTTCCTAATCAGATTAAACGAAGATTCATTATCTCTCATGTCGTTATTATGCCACAAGATAGAAATTCTCGAAATTATGCTGTGTTGATGAGTCGATGTGTCGTGTATCGATGTGCGGTTCACTATAAATACAATCAAAGATATTCTTAGAATCAATCTGTGTGATCTAATACAAACTATAATAGACTTACCGAATGTGTCCCTATCGAATCCAAAAGAAAAACTCAATAACAATCTCCCATATTCCTCTTAATAACTAAATTTCATAACTAAAGTTCACGTGCTGTGTTAACTATCTTAGTTCTATCGCAATAGTACCCAGTGTCTCTCGGACAACTCTTCTGGGCCTGGTGACCTGTCGCGTACACTCATGTGAAACCGAGCTTAAGCATTAAACAAATAAATGATACTCTAGGGAATGACACGTGGTTTGAAATGGGAAAACATTGTGCCCGAGCCGAGCAGGTCTGCAGTCATTAATGCAATGTTTCTGGCATTCAGACAAAAGATATTATAGCAGCTTCTTTTGTTTGAATTCAAATATTTTTTTCAATAAATAAGTCGCATAAGGTTTTAAGAATGAATGCAAATGAAAAGTCCTTCCAGATCATGAAAGATGAATAAATGGTACTAAAACTACTGTCGGTATCAGTTATTTGTTTGTTTGGGTGGAGTGGATGGGAATTGACTGTCGAATTTTTGTTTCTTTTCTAGCCTCTGGATCTGGATCTGGAAGCGGCAGTGGGGAAAAACCACCAAAAGCTGAACAAGGTAAAAAGCAGAATTGGTATTTATTTATGGTCATGTTGGTGAAATAATTTGATAATGTTTTTCTTTGCGTTTGTGTGTTGCAGCTGGCCCATGTCCACCTCCATGTTCTGGACCTTTTACTGAACGCTGGGTCCCAAGACCACGTTATGTGCCTGGACCACCCGTACCTCCACCTCCATTCCAGCCACCTCCACCTCCAATGCAGGCTCCTCCTATGGCTCCTCCTATGTGTGCACCCTCATGCCCTATGAGTTGTGCCCCATCATGTGAGCCATCGTGCTGTGGTGCTGCCCCTGTTGTCTTTCAACCACCACCACCTCCTCCACCTATGCCAATGCCTATGCCAATGTCAACACAATGTCAGCCTTCTTGTGCTCCAACCTGCTGCCCACCTCCTCCACCTCCACCACCCCCTCCACCACCACCACCTCCACCTCCACCACCTCCACCACCTCCACCACCACCAGCCATTTGCCCACAGACTTGCCAACCCACTACATGCCAACCCAATTGTCCTCCAATCTGCTGCAAATAGATAACTAGATCAATTGATAGGAGATAATGATATTAAATAGTGTGTATTCATGAAGCAGCAGTCGATTTGTAGCTCACCAGTTAAAACATTAAAAGAGTAGAGTATGCTTCATGACTGTATATCAATGCATATTGTATATTACTTAGTATTATTATTACAATCTTATTTCAGAATAAAGTGTTTTGTCTTTGATAAGGTATTTTTGTTGTTGAGTCTTCAAAGTCACTGAACTGACTAGCTCATTATCCCGTATTCACAAAAAAAAAAAAAAAAAATTATAAATAAAGTAGAGCCATGGTAACGAAGCTCCAAAGAAATGCACCAGTACATTGTCCGAAGAACGTGCATGCAGTTAGTGGCGAAAACAGTGAACCTCTGCAACAGTTAAATATGTGAGCTCCCTCGATGAGCTTCTGCTCTTGGGGCAAACTAAATAAGAATATATTAGTCAATTAAAATAATAAAAATAAAACAACTGCTATCAATGTAAGCCGACGGTCCGCACTTTACCCCCTCTCTCCATCAGTGCTCTGTTGTAAGAGTATTTAAAGCTGACGCTACACGGATTAGAGAGAAGTCGAAACAGACGAGGAGATCCTAAGGATCGAACCGTGGACCTCAAGCTCTGAAGGTCGCGCACTAACCAACTGAGCTACGTCTGCTCCTCAAAGCAAAACAAAATAGATGACGGAAAATATCAGAGTTTTGTGTGTTTGTCTTTCTTTTGTGGGTAAATGTGATCGATTTGCAGCGTCATAATTTATCTTGTTGCATTCTCTTGTGGTAAGCTGTTAATATCAGTCGATGTCATTGCTGCAACAGAGCTTTACTGGCCCCTAAACGCCCCGTACCTTGCGATCCAAGATGGCCGCCGAAGTAGTCCATTGGTCAGGTTTTTTCTGGTTGCTCATGAAATTGATGATGGATCAAGGATGTGGTTTACAGTACATTCCATATCACTGACAAAATCACTTAGAGCGAAAATACAGACGGCACGATAAAAACTATCAATCACAAACTTGAAACAATCATATTGAATCCAAACAATGAACAGTCCATCTTGTGGTGTCTGTAAATTTTACAATCGGATCATCGATCAACCAATCAAGTAATAGAAATCATTTTGGATCAACACAAGTCTTTGATACTTGTCAGTAAAACAGTCAAGAGTATGAAGCTCGTGAAAAAGGGCTGTAACAACTCTAAAGATGCATGCAAGAGATGCAAGTCTCGAAGTGCTTGAGATTCAATCATTGTAAAAGGTTATATATATATATATATATATATATATATATATATAATTTAATTGAGTTTTTAGTGCATACGTACTTTCTTATTTTTGTAATACAAACAAATAAATTGACTTATTACTGACACGAAATTAAACACTTGAACAAGTAAGCACATACCCTACCAAATATTTACAAACCATATGATTGATAATTATATATTAACAGAACTGATAATATCAATATCAAAAATTACTAAATCACTAATTTCTAAATTGGAGGCAACCCTCCAAACGAAGGGTTAAGATACTCTCCTTGCTGAATTAAAATTTTTAGTTTTATATTTTTGCTGAAAATTGTTAGCTGTTTTGATTTGCCCTTTGCCGGGTAGGTATCTTGTGAGACAATCACTGCAACCTGTTGTTTTCTTTTTTAGGCGAGAAGTAAAATGGACCTTATTCTTTGTAACCAATCAAAATGGCTTCTCGTAGCGAAGATTGGCAAGTTTACAGTGACGTCATTCCCCAATACCATAATACCCGTTTGAAGTCTTGATTAAATTCCGTCCCTGTTTAAGGATAATTTTTTACGGTTTATGCTTTTTCCCCAGGTAAGGTTTATATTCAAATTCGTGTTCATAGTTTTTACTAGATTCATGATCCATAACAACTATGATTTTCGGCCGAGATGAAATGGAACAAGGTCAAAATCCCACTCATATTGCACTAGAGGAAACTCGAGAGGAAAAGATCGAAAGACTAATGATGTTTTGGTATTTTTCAGATGTCTTAGTCCTTGTCTTCCACAATGTCAAAAGTCTTTTTAATATCGTTGATTTTCTTGTCCCTCTTCCTGCTTGCCTTTTCTCACCAAGAAGACGATGACACAGGTAGGACAGTTGTATTACAAAGAATTCAAATTCAAATTTAAATTATATCCCTACCATACTCTATCAATGTGTACTACATAGATAAAATGATCTCACATATGGATCGAGAATCGCAGTGTTTAGAGTCGTTTTCCAAAACGTATTTATGAAATATTTTTTTCCGTTGAAAGTCAGTGTAAGCTTAAAACATTTATAACTCTAAGATTTTCATAAAAGTCATAACTGAATGTTCTGCTATATGGCATGACCTGGCCGGTTTTGATCTCCTACATCGTACGGGCTGGTTGTTTAACGTTAATACTTCTACAGCAGGTACCATATTCAAGACTAGATTCAACAAAGACAAAAGACAAAAATAAAAATAAAAATAAAAATAGTATACAAATATAACACTTCGTATTTTATCTAAAACGACTTATCCTGTTAGTGACTAAGGGACTGGAATATACATAAGTTAAATTAATAAGGCAATTTATCATAGCGTTTATATTCTTTTTCCGCGACAAATATAATATATCTAGTCCTATCTTACAAACATTTCAATGGTGAGACAGGACAGATATAATCTATAAGCAGGCAGTATAGACCTCTTGCACTGAGTTCTGAGAGGAATTGTTCTCGGGGACAAAACAACTGTGCGCAGTTTGTCCTTTGTTATTCAAAATATAAAAAAATCAGCCAATTGTTTTGTCCTCCAGAACAATTGCTCTAGGAAAACAATGCAAGGGATCTATTGGCATGTATGTTAAATATCCGATGGTTTTGTTTTCAATCAAGATAAATAAAACACAAATTCAATTTACCAAAAAATGAGAAGTTCAAATTCTATAGGCAGTTTAAGATAAAAATTACATGAAAGATTTTCGGTCAAGTATGTTCAAGGAAGGTCTTCTTATGGATGAGTTCGTTTGTTCGTTGTCCTTACGTGTAGTTATTGTACTTTATTGCATTTTATCGTACTCTCTCGACCACATCCGCAGAACCTCTTAATTCTGAACATCAACCTTGGCCACAAGGCAGAAAACATGAGGCTTCTTCCTGGTACAAGACACCTATTCAATATACACCGATTACAGCAAACGTTAAAGAATGTGTTAGTTTTTGTGGCCATGGAAAGAGAAAAACTCAAAAACTTGGTAAAAACAACAGACTTTTAAAAACTGTTGACACTGAGACGCTAACGTCTACGTAGGCCGGGTCTTCTTTTGAATGCCACCTGATGAAACATGGCGGAATTCTCAATCTTTTGTTTGCATGAAACTGATACCCAAACTCCTTTCCAGTTCATTCCTGAAACGATGCAAATTTGACGAAATTTAATTCCTTCTGTTCATTTTTCAATGTTTATTATCGTTTTCAATCAATCCTGTTTATCGTTGACACAGCCAGGGAACTGATATGCGATACCTAAGACATATACTCATCACATCGTAAGATACTTTTGAATGCCATTATCATTTGCATATTTTGGACCACACGTTTAGGGTTTGACAGTAGTTCTCTTTCTTTCCAGTAAACGTTGAGAAGAGGTTCAGCCCCGCATTGGAGGAGATTCACCTCCAAGATAAAAAGAGCACCATTGCTCGTGTGAAGCTAAGTAATAAGAAGAAAGATAAACCAGAGGAAGAAGAAGGAAGCGCATTAACCGACATCTTATTGACAGAAGGGAGTAGCAGCGCAGACAAAGATGACGACATAGTGACTGACAAAGATGCGATGGGAGAAAGTATCGATGCTCCAAAAGATAACGAGGCCAAAAAGAAAAGCGACGAGAAAGAAAAGAAGAAAGATGATGAGAAGGAAAAAGAAAAGACAAAAGATGAACAAGAGAAGAAGGATGCTAAAAGTAAGAGAGCGATCATTTATTAATGAATAGTAGAATGTAATCTTTGATTAGCCTATGTGACGCGCTTAATATTTAACGAATTATAACTGTCATCATAAGGTTCTAAAGAAGCGAGGCTATCAAAGAATCTGGCACAATCTGTTTAACAATTTTCAATGAATGACAAACGTCGTGTTAACGTCAAGTAACCAAGGAAAAATTCTGACAGAAAGCATTAGTGACTTCTCATAATGATTTAGAAATCAAAGGCTATCAAAGAAAGAAAAATGTCATACATATGACCGGAAGAGCAAGGGAGGAGTTGTTATGACAAGGGTAGTCTCATCATGCTCAATATAGTTGTCATGCATGCTTTCTCAATAACCCATAATTCCATTCAAGATTAGAGGTCAACTTTGCTGGTGGTACGATGTACATAATTAGATATTAGTCCTCGAGCCCGAATAGGCTATTGACTCATAGGCCATGCATGAGGGCGAGAGCTTAGGACTAATTATTTTAGTCAAATCCAACCAGTCGGTCATATATAGATGCAAACAAGTTTTGAATCAAAGTTAACTTCAGTGTTTTGGTTTCAAAGCCAGCACTTGTCACTACTTGTAGGCTATAACTTATGGCCTAGTAGTATCTCATCCGATCAGAACGCAGCATTGATGATTGATGGACCAATAGTTAGATTTGACTAACATCTGATGCCTTATCTTTAACCAACGTGATTTAATTGCAAGTCTGACTATGAAACCTTTCTTTTTTCAGTAAGAGATCAATTCCTCCACCTAATCAAAGGTAATCTTTCTCTAACCATTAACTTTACTAACTATTCTAAGATAGGAGGATCTGTTGACAAGATATGTGCACTAAGTTGTGAGCCTTAGCAATAGGGCAAGCCTACCATCTTGCATGCATTCTTTAGCGATTGTCAAATAACAAAAGCTATAACTTTTTTCCAATAGATAATATAAACTTTTTACTGCCTAATGTTAAACATGCTAACTTTCTTCCTAATTTCCGTCGATCATACCTTGGTTCATGTAAACTCTGTTTTATGAACTTTATAAGTATACCTTTTGTCATCGTTGTGTTTCAGCAATGAGCAATAGTAGTTTATCGGAGAAAAAGACTAAAGATGAAGCAGCTGCAAAGACCGAGGAAAAGGGGAAAGAGGAAAAGAAAGAGGAGAAGAAAACCGAAGAAAAGGAAAAAGAAAAGAAAGGAGAAAAGAAAGCTGAAAAGAAGGAGAAAAAGACTGACGAAAAAAAGAAGCCAGCTGAAAAAGAAAAGCCAAAGCCTTCAGCTGCCAAACAAAAACCACCTCCAAATGAGGTTAATCGTTTTCGCCAGCATCCAGGCTATCCAATGTCACCATACGGACAAATGTCACCATACGGACAAATGTCTCCATACGGACAAATGCAATATCCACAATCGCCATACGCACAAATGCAATATCCACAATCGCCACAATTTCCACAACAAATGCAACAGCGACAACAGATGCCATTTCCACAGCAAATACCACAACCTGCACCAATGTCTGCTAATGGAGGAGCATGTATTGCTTCATGCTGGAAAAAGTGCACTCCCATTTGTTTACAGCATAGGTGCTGCACTGCATCTCAGCAACAGCACCCACCCCCACCACCTCCTCCACCACCTCCTCCACCACCACTTCCAATGATGTACATGCCTCCTCCTGCCCCTCAGATGCTTTACCCACAGCCTGCTCCAATGATGCCAATGATGCAGCAGCAGTGTCAGCCATCATGTGCTCCCTCCTGCTGTAGACCTTCTCCTGCTCCTGCACCTCCTCCAAGACCTGCTCCTCCTCCTCCTCCTCCTCCCCCACCACCACCGGCTCGTGCTCCAGCGAAACCTTGTAATCCATCATGTGCTCCTCAGTGCTGCGGGTCATCTTACAGCCAATATCCTGTAGCGGCATCCATGTACTCAAGCTATCCATCACCCTATGCAGCACAGTACCCTTCCCCAGCAGCTCCCACCACGGCTTCAGCCGTTACTGCGTCTTCTGGATCTGCCACTCTTAACGCTGATACCTGTAAGCCAATCTGTCTTAAATTCTGCATCACTCTTTGCCCACAGAAATGTTGTTCTGCAGGTGCTTCAAGGTATGTAAAAATCCCGCTTAATTTAATTAAAACCCCAGATTTATTGCAGTGAAAGTTTTCAAGATTGCCCTCAAAACATAACTGATTACCGAAAAACTAAAAAATATATATACGGTATTGACACACAAATTCCTAAAAAAATTAGTTTCTCATTATTTCTTGATATCAAGATATTCAGATCCTTGCTTAAGACCGTGCTTCTTTTTTTATACCATTAAATTAACACCTTAGCAATATTATAATTAAATACCACGTTAAATATAACGTTATTCAACTTGGCTATCATTTCAACAGCTCGAGCGCCTCCAAATCCCCAACTAAACCTCCTACAGCCGCCGTAACTACAATTGCCTCAACTCGTGCATTGCCAACAACGGTACGAGCAAATCAATGCCCAGCTGCGCCAGCCTGTACTCCTATGAACTGCATGCCAAGTTGCCCTGTATACTGCTGCAAACGAAGTAGCAACCCAAGACCACCTGCCAAGAATGAAGACCAAGAGGAAGACGAAGACAGCTGCCCAGCTCTATGTTACAAACGATGTGCCCCAGTCTGCCCCCGAAGGTGCTGTGGACCAAAAAGCCCTTCACCATTACACCCACGACGACCAAATATCCACATAGCCGATCTTCCTTACGGCAGTCAATGCCCACATATCTGCAAAGATGTGTGCGCTCTAGAATGTCCTCATAGATGCTGCGGACCTGGCTCTTTCAGGCGTCACATTATCCCAAGGCCGCAACTGACATACCAAAGAAGCCAAATTCCACGCTTTCAGACATACAAACGATATCGAACTCCTCGTCTCAGTAGGAGCTACATACGGCGATTTGGTTACCCAAAAGTTTAAAAAAACCAAGGAAGAAACCAAATAGCCATGCTTACAATCTGACCAGCTCCTCGATGGCCAGCATTTTGTAAACAAACTCCTTCTCCATTCTATGAAAGAATTTGTTCTATCATTTTGTTTTGTGGCATACGCGTATTCTTTGTATAAAGTTCTCATTTCTGCAGAGCGTGGGAATTTGCAATACTCGTTTATCAACGAAAACCCGAAACTGTATATGCTTTGTGCCACAATTTTGCATCATCCCAAGCGAATAGTGTTACCTTTTTTAGGTATGTGTACATACTTCTAAAAATTTACATGTAAAACTAAAATTTAGAAGTAAGAATTCTAATTGTCAGAAGCTTAATATAAAGTTGTTACTGTAAATATAAGCAAGGATAAATTCAATAAAAAGTAAAACTGAACCAACATGACTTGTCTATTGAGAATTTATTGATACAAAGAGAGTAAATCTTGATCAATTTATAATATGTCTCCTTGAAGAACTAAGCGCGCAACAATGAACAATTGAAAATGAGCAATTGTAACGAAATTCATTCGGATTTGTCTCCATGGGAAGAAAGCGCGCAACAATGAACAATCGACGATGAACGATTGTAATAAAACTCATTCGGATTTGTCTCCATGG